TGTAGCACAGAGATAGGGGTTTGGTAGCCTGCTGTCGGGAGAGGCAGTTCCTGCCAAAGGTCGTTAATTGATCCGCCTCGCAGTACCGTATCCTTGTAGTGGTAAGAATATGCTTGATGCGTAAATATGTAAATATTTCCCTAGACGGCAGAGTGTATTCTGTTTGCAACTCGGGGGATTGTTTAATGCCCTGTGGTGTGAATAATGAGCCCACCGAGGTGATCCCTTTATCTATCCAAACTTTCAGTGGGAGATCGCTGGTCAGGTCGTTCAGTCGGGACAAGGGGGCGAAGAGGAGTGGGTGAGCATGCCCCATCAGGTCTTTCGCCCATCTGCTCCATCCGGACAACATGAATTTAGTGTTGGGCAGACCTTCCAAGGAAGGCTGTGGGTGACTACTTATGTTCCACAGACGGTGTGAGATCGTATCTGGGTGAAGGGTTGCATTTTCTAGGGGGAGCCATACTGGGGGGTTGGGGCGGGTAAGGACTTCCAGACCCTGGGCTAGTGCAGATGCTTTGTAGTATGTTTTTATATCAGGTGTACCTAGGCCTCCTTTATTAGGGGGGAGCCACGTGAGTCTGCGAGCTATTCTCGGGGGTTTTTTCTTCCAGATGTGGGAATTAAGAACGGATTGGAATTTCTTGAGGAGCGTGTCAGGAAGCGCAATAGGGAGGGTGCGGAAGAGATACAGTACATGCGGCAGTACCATCATTTTAATGGTCTGCACCCTACCCATCCAAGAGACCTCCAGTTCGTTCCATTTATCCAGCTGTGTTTGAAGCCTGGTCAGTAGTGGTAAATGGTTTTCCCGCGTGAGCCCAGCAGGGGAGGCTGTCAGGTTAATCCCCAGGTATTTTAGGGACGTTTTTCTCCAGTCAAAGGGATATGCTGCTTTCAGCTTATTTATTAGTGAGGCCGTTAGTCCCATTGGGAGCACCTGGGTTTTGTTGGAGTTGTTTTCATAGTATGAGACCTGACTGTACTGTGTTAACAAAGACAGTAATGATGGTATGGATTGTGCAGGTTGTGTGAGAAAAAGCAGAATATCATCTGCGAATAAGGTCAGTTTTTGTATGCCTGCTGGTGTGTTGAGACCCTTTATCTCGGTGTGTCGTTTGATGTGACGGATGAGAGGCTCCAAGCAAAGGATGAATAACAGGGGGGACAGTGGGCACCCCTGCCTAGTGCCATTGCTAATTGAGAACGGTTCTGATAGGAACCCTGTGTTGAAGACCCTAGCGGAAGGGGCGCTATATAGTGCCATGGTGGCCTCCATAAATGAACGCGGGAAACCCATCTTGTTGAGAGTCGCCTTTAAGTAGACCCAATTTAACCGGTCAAACGCCTTTTCGGCGTCGAGCCCTAGGACTGCTCCCTTTTGGTTACTGGATCTCGCCCAGCTAATCAAGTTCAGGCAGTGTCTGGTGTTGTCTCCGGCTTGCCTACCCGGGACAAATCCCGCTTGTTCTGCGGATACTAATTCCGTGAGAAGGGGTTTGACCCGTAAGGCCAGGAGTTTGGCAAAGAGTTTGACGTCTGCGTTAAGGAGTGAGATTGGCCTCAGATTCTCACATTTAGTGGGCGGTTTATCCGGTTTGGGAAGAGTGACAATATGTGCTTCTAACATTTCCTTTGGCATGGCTCCCTTTGCTTTAATGTCGTTAAATAGTAATGTTAGGATAGGTGTCAGGATCTGTTCTAGCTTAATATAGTAGTAATTAGAGAAGCCATCAGGACCCGGAGCCTTGTGTTTCGGGAGGGACGCGATCGCTTTGGAAACCTCATCTTCCGTGAATGGGCTGTCTAGGGCATCCCTTTGAGTTAGCGTTAATTGTGGGAGCTCGCTATCGTGGAGAAACTTGTCTATGGCTTCAGGCGTGGGTTGGGCCACTTCGGGGTCGTCTTTTAGGTTGTACAGTTTGGTATAGTATTTGGCTAACGAGTTTACTATGTCTGTGGGATTGTATATTTTGATGTTGTGTTGAGATTCAATGTAAGGAATCTTCGACTGAAGTCGTTGAATCTTTAATTTATTGGCCAGAAGTTTGCCTGCTTTGTTCCCTTGTATGTAGTATGTAGATTTAAGCGTTCTCATTTTTCTTTCTATAGCTTGTAGGGAGAGGACATTTAGTTCTGATTGCAGGCGGGCTATTGTTTTGGCTAATTGAGCGGAGGGCCTTTGTTTGTTCCCCTCTTCTGCCTTGGCCAGATCACGAGTCAACCGTAAAATCTCCTCGTTATGTTTCCTTTTAGTGCGTGAGCCTATTTGTATCAAAGTGCCCCTTACGACAGATTTGTGAGCTGCCCATAGGGATTGTATAGAGATGTCATCAGACGTATTTTCCTCAAAGTAGAGGGATGCCGCCTTGCAAATAGTTTGCAAGGTGGCGGGAGTGTCCAGTAGGCCCTCGTTTAGCCTCCATTTGCCCCTTCCTCGGACCGGATATAAACTAGCAAAGGTGGCGGTGACAGGTGCGTGATCTGACCATGTCCGTAGCCCTATATCTACTGCAGCTATGTTAGATAGGGTCAGTTTGTCGACTAATATTAAGTCAATGCGTGAGTATGTCGAATGTATCGGTGAGAAGTAGGTATAGTCTCTACCTGTTGGGTACGTGTTGCGCCATGTATCGTATAGGTCTGATTCAAAGATGAGGTCAGACAGTGCTTGTAACGGATCGCCTGGCACCCCGACTGGGTACCTCCGTTAAAGGATGCTCCTAGCGCTTCCTGAGGACTCCAAGCACTGCAGCAGACACCACAACCACCGAACCGGAGAAGCATCTGAATCCTCTCAAGCATATGAATGCTGTAGACAGTTGAATAGGAACCATACGAATAGGTTTACTCTCCTAGCAGTCAAACTGGAACAGCATACAATAAATCCTTCCCCCAATAATGAGACGACACTTCACTTTGAGGGTTTAAGCAGGAACTCTCTGTACTGTCACATACAGTCTCTTTTATTCCCAATCCACAAACATAGTACAGCCCACAGGGCGTTACAAAACAACCAATCAATCCGTACAATACACCCAGACACTCCCACACAAAATCCTCCCCTCTGCATGTGATATGATTACTGAACACAATGGGTAATCTCATTATCACCGGCAGAGGAATACAGTTTTTACCCAATATTTCTAACTTCTAAAATATACATGTCACAAACATAAAACATACATTTTCATAATCAATCCATTCAGGGGAACAACATATTAAAAAATGGCACGAATCAGACCAGGGGTTCAAAAGTTAAGGGAAAGTCCTTTGTGACTAAATGAAGCATGGCTTTCTGGCCCAAACCAGTTTCAGAGTCTTCTATCCTGGAGAGTAATTCAATTATCTCCCAGGATAGACACAAGACTCCATTAAGCACATGGTTGCAAAAAGACACAAAACACTTTAAAATACATAAAGTCACATTTACACATAACACACAGACATTTCACATATCCCCAGATAGCTGGGATCTGAGTGCACATTATTAGATGAATGGCACTCAGATCACACAAATAAGCCTTTCTGCAGGGGAAATAAACAGTTTAACCTGCAGGGCCATAGTCCAAAGGGAGCAGGCGAGCAACCAGGCTTCTCCAGTTCACAGTGGCGAGGTTGGTTTCGCCACACTTCTCCCCTTTACCAACTAGACTAACAGGGTATCTGACCTCCTGCCGGTCAGTGCCCTGGTTAGTCCAGCAACCCACCCACAAAACAGAAACAGCAGTACAGCCCACCCACAATAACTGGTTACTACACCTGGGTAGAGGAGAACTTTGTCCATGTCCAGGTGCCTCACCACGACTGTGTGGGCAACTGTTAGGCTGCCTTGGTGGGTTGCTGAGTGGGCAGAGACCAGCGGTACTCTGCCCTGATGCCAGTGCTACCACGGAAGTAGCCTGGTGGGAGCCTGGTTGTGGGAGGGAGAGACCGACTGTCTCCCCTCTGGATACACCGCTCTGTGGCTGGGGAACAGGACCGACTGTCCCTACCCCTGGTGCTGCAAGTGCAGAGACTACGTTCCCATCTGCACTGTTGGGGGTGTAACATCTCTCCTTGCTGGGTTAGGCTGCCGCTGGAGAGAGGGTGTAACAAGCTCCTCTCTCTGAACTGTAAACTGCCGCTGTGGAGAGGGGGTATCAGGCTCCTCTCCCTGACACTCTCTCTGCTGGTGGAGAGGGGGACCAGCTGTCTCTCCTTTCATTATTTTGTCCTGTGGTTGGGGTGCGAGACTGACGGTCTCTGCTCCCTGCAGGACACTCTGCCGCTGGGGAGGAAGGACGGCACCTTCAGCTCCCTGGGGTACACACTGCCGCTGGGGAGGAAGGACTGCACCTTCAGCTCCCTGGGGTACACACTGCCGCTGGGGAGGAAGGACTGCACCTTCAGCTCCCTGGGGTGCACACTGCCGCTGGGGAGGAAGGACTGCACCTTCAGCTCCCTGGGGTACATACTGCCGCTGGAGATCTGGGCCGACCGCCCAGCATCCCTGTAGGGCCAGTTGAGAAACCGCCGTCCCATCTCCACCTGCCATCTGTGGGTCTTCCCAGGACCAGTCTGTGAGGTCCCTCAACATTTGCGAGTAAGGACCACCTGCTTCCGCACCTGGCAACTCCGGCTGCTGCTGGGGATCTGGGCCGGTCCCATCTCCACCTGCCTGTTGTGGTTCCTCACAGGACCAGTCTATGAGGACCCCTACTTCGGGTTCCTGCGGCCGCCTCAGGGGGAGACGGCTAGCCTCCTCGGATGCAGCCTCTACTCGGCTGCTGTAACACTCCTTCCGCTGAGCATACTCTCTCTCTTTCGCCAGCCGGAATTCTCGGGCCAGCCTTGTGTTTCGCTCGGCCGTGACCTGGTTCCAGATCACCCGGCGTACCTCCATGGGTAAATCATCCCCATACTGGGCCACTCGCTGCCTCACCTCGGCCATCCAATCATCGCCAGAGCCTTCCATACTTGTCTGCTCCAAGTCGCTGGATACCTCTGCTCCCAGGGTCGCTGCACGTGTGCTAGTGTTGCCCTCAATTTGTAACTCCACGAACGGTGTCTCTGAGCTGCTTTACCTTGCACTAGGACGCCATCCCACCGCTTGCCACCAATGTAACGGATCACCTGGCACCCCGACTGGGTACCTCCGTTAAAGGATGCTCCTAGCGCTTCCTGAGGACTCCAAGCACTGCAGCAGACACCACAACCACCGAACCGGAGAAGCATATGAATCCTCTCAAGCATATGAATGCTGTAGACAGTTGAATAGGAACCATACGAATAGGTTTACTCTCCTAGCAGTCAAACTGGAACAGCATACAATAAATCCTTCCCCCAATAATGAGACGACACTTCACTTTGAGGGTTAAGCAGGAACTCTCTGTACTGTCACATACAGTCTCTTTTATTCCCAATCCACAAACATAGTACAGCCCACAGGGCGTTACAAAACAACCAATCAATCCGTACAATACACCCAGACACTCCCACACAAAATCCTCCCCTCTGCATGTGATATGATTACTGAACACAATGGGTAATCTCATTATCACCGGCAGAGGAATACAGTTTTTACCCAATATTTCTAACTTCTAAAATATACATGTCTGTAACGGATCACCTGGCACCCCGACTGGGTACCTCCGTTGAAAGATGCTCCTAGCGCTTCCAGAGGACTCCAAGCACTCCACCAGACACCATAAGCACCGCAGGCTGCAGCTATCTCCCTTCAGAACGAAGCAGGAACAAGCTCTTACAAGAGCTCAGTGATTATAGCAAGGGAATATGCCTAGCATAGCAATCCCTTGTAGCAGATTCCCCCAATAAGAGACAGGACTCAAGTTGAGGGTAAAAATAGAACTCTCTGGCTGCTAGCTTGCAGCCCTTTTTATTAGGTGCTCCCATGAAGGGGAGGGACACACACAGTAACGTACATTAACCAATCACACAATAGTTACATCCCACACATAGCCCTCCCCTCTACCTGTAAACTAATTATCTGTACACACAGGGAAATACAATTATCATAGGTAGGGAAAATACAGTTTTTACACAACATTCATAACTCCCAAAATATACATCACATTCGCATAAAAATACATATTCACAATCAATCCATTCAGGGGAACAACATATTAAAAATGGCATGAATCAGACCAGGGGTTCAAAAGTTAGTAAAAGTATCTTTTGTTCCCCCTGGCTCAAACAGTAAAAGTAAAACATCCCCACAATGCATCCTGGCTTCCTCCCTTCTGCCCTGGAGATAATTGGAGAAGGAATCTAATTATCTCCAAAGACAGAGCCAAACTCCATTACCCACATGGCAGACAAAAAGACAGTAAAAGACATAAAATTACATACTGACACATATAGTACATAAAACACACATTTCTACATATCCCCAGATAGCTTGGATCTGACTGCACATTATTAGATGAATGGCACTCAGATCACACGAATAAGCCTTTCTGCAGGGAAAATAAACAGTTTAACCTGCAGGGCCATAGTCCACAGGCAAGAGGCGGGCAAGCAGCCCCCTCCAAGGACACGTGGCGAGGTCGGTTTTGCCACACTTCTCCCCTTTGCCCCCCAGACTAACAGGGTATCTGACCTCCTGCCGGTCAGTGCCCTGGTTAGTCCAGCAACCCACCCACGAAGCACAAACAGCAGTACAGCCCACCCACAATAAATGTTTACTCCACCTGGATAAAGTAGCAACTTGTCCATGTCCAGGTGCCTCACCACGGCTGTGTGGGGAGCTGGTAGACTGCCTTGGTGGGTTGCTGAGTGGGCAGAGACCAGCGGTACTCTGCCCTGGTGCCAGCGCTACCACCGAAGTAGCCTGATTGGAGCCTGGTTGTGGGAGGGGGAGACCGACCGTCTCCCCTCTGGGTACACAGCTCTGGGGCTGGGGAACAGGACCGACCGTCTCTACCCCTTGGGCTGTAAGCGCAGAGACTACGGTCCCATCTGCACAGTTGCGGGGCTCAACATCTCCCCTTGGTGGGTTAGGCTGCCGCTGGAGAGAGGGTGTAACAAGCTCCTCTCTCTGGACTGTCAACTGCCGCTGGGGAGAGGGGTTAACAGGCTCCTCTCCCTGACACTCTCTCTGCTGGTGGAGAGGCGGACCAGCTGTCTCCCCTTTCATTATTTTGTCCTGCTGCTGGGGTGTGAGACTGACGGTATCTGCTCCTTGCAGGACACACTGCCGCTGGGGAGGAAGGACGACACCTTCAGCTCCCTGGGGTACACACTGCCGCTGGGGAGGAAGGATGGCACCTTCCGCTGGGGCAGCCTGTAGAAAGTCAGGCTCAGGGGAAGGAAACAAGGGAGGACAGAGGCCAGCGGCGCTCTGCCCAGTTGCCAGCTCTTCTGCTGGGGGGTCAGGGAACAAAGGAGTTGGCTGGGGAGGAGAAATATCACTTACCTCCCCCTGGTACTCCGGCTGCTGCTGGGGGGGGAGGTCGATGCTCTCCACTTTCTGTAACTCCAGCTCTAGTTGGGGATCTGGGCCGGTTGCCCAGCATCCCTGTAGGGCCGGTGGAGAGATCTCGGTCCCATCTCCACCTGCCTGCAGGGGGTCCTCCCAGGACCAGTCTATGAGGTCCTCTACCTCGGGTACCTCTGGTTGCTGTTGGGGAGGGAGACCGGTTGTCTCTTCCTCCAATAACACATTCTGCCGCTGGGGAGTGAGACCGACTGTCTCCCCTCCCTGTAAAACATACTGCCGCTGGGGATCTGGGCCGGGTGCCCAGCATCCCTGTAGGGCCGGTAGAGAGACCTCGGTCCCATCTCCACCGGCCACCTCGGTTTCTTCCTCGTCCCACTCTACCTGTGGCTGGAGTTTCTCCCAACGTGCCCACTGGCCTTCCCTCAACGCCCTGTGTTGTAGGTTCCGGGTCACCATGTCCCACACGAACCGCACGTATTTCTCCTCTGGATTGGGTCCGTAAAACTTCAGGTGCAACCCTACCATCGTGCCAAACTCTAGTATGGAGTAGCTATACGCCATGCTTGCTGTAGCCACTGCTGGTTCCATTATGTTGCTGACGATAAGGACGCTGCACAACTCCACACGTTACCGGTGTCTCCGAGCTGCTTCTCCTCGCACTAGGATGCCATCCCGCCGCTTGCCACCAATGTAACGGCTACCCTGGTAGAGAGAGGGTATCGGCCGTTGGAGACGTCCTTTTTCCCTGCAAGCTGCTGTGGAGAAGTAAGCTGGTATAATCCCATTCACGATATCCAGAGTAAAAGTCAGGTTCAGCTGTAGCAGGAGCAGAATAACATTCCCAAATAATCCCCTTCCAAGAACGAGACAAGGCTACGTTTTGCAGGGTCAAGAAGATCTGAGGTCTGGGAAACCCAGCCTGCTTTTTATTAGGAACAAGTACACACAGGACACTCCCAGGGGGAGGATGAAAATAACCAATTACACACAGGGTAACACCCCCACGTCTCCTCCCCTCAGATAAACATATAACATAATTATAACGTACCTAAATTTACCCACATTCTGGATGTACCCCAAAAACAGGGGGTACACCTTTAAGTCCAGCACCGCTTAATAGCTACCACTCAGGGGAATAACATATTCAAATTTCAAGCCATTCGGTTGTGGGGTTCGGGAGTTATGGGTCTTTGAAGTTTTGACCGACCGCACAGGATTTTCAGCCGAAAAGAGTTCCACAAGTTTTGGCCTTGCGGTCGGTCCCCGTTCGTGAATAAAAACCCCACGAACCCCTTGCCCTCCACAGTAATCCTGCCGTTCGCCTGAATCCCCATGCATGCTTAAACAAAACTACCGAACGGCCGGTCGTTCGGTAGTTTCAGCACGAACTTACGAGCTCCTGGAGGTCTCAGCGGCGTTCGCCTGTTTGCGTATCCGTTTTTAGTTCCATGCGTTCACAGGCAAACACCGCCGTTCGTGCGTAAGATGGCCGCGAACACGTGTAAAGTCCCGAAATGGCGGCCACCTATTCTCAGACAAAGGGATTCGTCTGAACCAGGCGAACGGCTGTATTCTCCAGTAATGATATTCCCTTGCAATGATTTCGCCATTTTTCACTGTTTTAGTCCACAGGGCTTTGGTGCTGGTGAAGTCCTGTTACAATGTCACAAACATAAAACATACATTTTCATAATCAATCCATTCAGGGGAACAACATATTAAAAAATGGCACGAATCAGACCAGGGGTTCAAAAGTTAAAGGAAAGTCCTTTGTGACTAAATGAAGCATGGCTTTCTGGCCCAAACCAGTTTCAGAGTCTTCTATCCTGGAGAGTAATTCAATTATCTCCCAGGATAGACACAAGACTCCATTAAGCACATGGTTGCAAAAAGACACAAAACACTTTAAAATACATTTAAAGTCACATTTACACATAACACACAGACATTTCACATGAATGGCACTCAGATCACACAAATAAGCCTTTCTGCAGGGGAAATAAACAGTTTAACCTGCAGGGCCATAGTCCAAAGGGAGCAGGCGAGCAACCAGGCTTCTCCAGTTCACAGTAGCGAGGTTGGTTTCGCCACAGTGCTTTACCGTTTTTGCGGGCTACAGTCGTCGGGCGTTTGTTGAGGCTTCGTTTGATATCTACCGAGGGGTCCAGACTGCAGTTGAAGTCGCCACACAGTATGACATGCCCCTGTTTCATGTTCTCTAGTTTTTTAAGTGCTCTACGTAAAAAGTTTGTTTGGCCATCGTTAGGGGCATACAGCGTTGCAAGGGTTAGGTTAATGCCGTTAAGGGTTCCTACTAATATTAAAAGACGCCCTGCTACGTCCGTGTGAGAACTGCTCTTTTGAAATACCCAATCTACATGGAACAATATCGAGACCCCTTTAGTTTTGTTGGGGGAGTATGCATGGAAGGCCTGTGGATAGCGGTTGGTGTGAATTTTAGGGGGTTTTTGAGAGCACAAGTGGGTTTCTTGCAGGCATATCACTGCCGCCCTGGATTTGTGCATGTCCCTGATCGCTAGACTGCATTTGTGGGGGCTGTTCAGACCTTTAACATTCATGGAGAAAACCTTAAACTCATGTTGGGCCATAGGGACGGGGATCGGTACTCTTTAGCATGCGTGTACAGTGGCTGTGCCTCGTTGTCTCGGCATAATCAATTCCAATCGGAAACTCAGCGGACTTGATGATGTCCCTGTCTTGGTTGGGTATTAGGCGTGGAGACTGCTGGTATATTATTGGAGGAGTCT